GATCCAAAGGAAGGGGAAGTCATATTTTTTTTGTTCTTGTAATAATATGCATTTTTACCATTCAAAGAACTGTATGTGTTATGGCTTCATGTGTTTTTTTCAAGACTTGAGATTTAATTATTTTAAAATAATCTTAATAGTTTAAGTCGCTTACAATTAGATATCCTGTGTTCTTTTAAGAGAACTATGATAACACAGAATGCAGAACAGAAATATTGAATAATTATGACCTCCCTGAGGAATTCTACTCAGCAAGTCCTACTACAGCTCACTGTCATTCTTCCACAAGATTCTGAAGTAGTAGTAAAATAAGAAACAGGAATGCACAATCAAAAATCCATATTTTAAATCTCTTTAAATATTAGCTTATGCTATCTAGAAACAGCAGGTTAAGATCTCAAGTTACAAATTAAGAAAAAGTGTCTCATTTAAGGTTCTTAAAAGGAAAAGGACTTTTAGAAGTTAACTCAAACTCTTTTCTAAAGATAAGAAAAAGCACTAAAATAAGAAAGCCATATAATATAATTTTACAAACCTACTCTAAATTAAAAGCTGTAATGCTGAGATAAGATAGGTGAAATCTCAAAGAAAATAATAGAAATCAATGAAACAATTCCATCTGTTGGAGAGAAGAAACGCAAGAGTGACTATAAAGAAAGACCTCTGACATCACCAGGAGTGGTTTTTCTTTTTCCCTCTCCTCAGCTTCTGGCACAAAAGGCATAGAGGAAACCATTTTCTTAATGATTGAAAAACTGGTCTCAGACAGTGATGCTCAACATGACACCTTCCCTGATTCTTACAGCTTTACACAGCAATAATTCTCACTTCCATCTCCAGTTTTAATGCAACATGCTGAGAATAAAAAAAAACCACAAACCTGTGAAACAGCAGATTGTTAAAAGATATATCAGGAATAAAAGGCTATTACAAACAGATTAGTGCAGGGTGGAAATGGCACAGGCTAAGCAGGAGGCATGGATAATCTGGGTAAGTGCCATGGAAAAATAAATATCATGATTGGACTTAAGGCAAATGGCAGCAGTTCAAATCAGCTTCCTCCAATTCACTGCAAACATGTGATGCCCACATGTCCATTTCCAACAAAACTCACCATAAAGAAACAAGACCAATACTGTGAAGTGTTGAAAAATACATCTACCACCAGCTTCTTCCATATCACAGCAACATGAATTATTACAGCTGCCCGATAAGCATGAAAGAAAAGAGTTTGGGGGGCGGGGGCTTCTTTTTTTATTTTTTCCTCTGTTTTGTTTTGGTTCTTATTGTGGGTTTTTTTTTCTTTTTTTGCAGGGGGAAGAGAGCTACTAGCATTTATCCAAAGCGCACCAACCTGTCAGTAAGTGTTGACCTCACAAAGAAGAGCACGTTTTATACAACGCAGTTTGCAGTTTTACAGTTGGTCTACAAGGCCAAAGACAATACCTCTACTCTACGTGCACCTACAGCTTCTCCAGCTCAGTTCTAGCAGGTTTCTGTCAGATTAACTTGTCAGAACATCACTTTCTTTATCCAATTCCATGTGAGGTCAAAAAATGCTAGTGTTTGCTTAACAGAAAGGTCAGGAACTCCTGGCTAAGGATAGGCTGTCTCTATAACCAGCAGCCCACACTTAAAATTGGTTTAAATTGATCACAAAAATCAAAGCCTCGCAGCAATAAGTGATCATGTCATTGCATGAATACAAAGAAAATTTCTGGTAAGGGTAGTCCTAGAGAGAGGATCTCAAAAATCAGCCATTCTTAAAGTTTAAAGATTAGCTCTAGAGCAAAGTGTTATTAATCCAGTTGTTAATAAAGCCAAATACCAGCTGTAGGTGGATTAGGATCAAGTAAAAACTTTCCAGCTTAAAGGATCTTCCACTAGAAACAACTCTTTTACATGACAAATTTGAGATCATGGCTTAATTAGCAAACACAGAAAATATTTCAAAAGCACGTCACCAATTTTTACCAAAAAGCAAAATCACAACTACTACAGCAAAACATTACCAAGAGTTATGCTTTCATTATAGATTTCAAGGAAAAAAAAAAAAAAAAGATGAATTTAGAAACAAACAGAAATCATAAAAACATGTTACATGAAGAGGACAGACTGAACATTCAATTAATGGCTTGAATACAATTCAGGTAGGGGTAGGACAAAAGACAGGACAGCACACACACTGCAGTCAATGGAGGACACAGGTAAAACACATCACTGCAGCTTCAGAGTAGGAGACTGAGTCTTGCTCTAGAACCACCCTGAAGCCTCCTTTGATGAGCTCCACTGTAAATTCATTACTACTTATCCCAGCAGAGGAACCAAAGGCAGATGCAAACTGTTAGCCACGTTAATCCTAGTTGCTGCAGACTACTGCAATCGACAGGCTTTTAGTCCTGCTGGATGGGTTAAGTTATCCAGGTTTGAGTGATTTTTGACTTATCAGAAAATTCCTTACTATTTCTACTGGCTGTATCACCACATTTTAGGGCAATCTTGAGGATGTCTCCATGTTTTCTCCTTTAAAACTACTTGAAAACACTCCTCTGACAAAAACTCAGAGAAAATACAAAAGTTTCACTTTTTGTCATTAGCAAAAGCATAAAAGGACTCTGGCATTGAACATGTGAGGCATCCCATAGTTCTTACAGGAATAAAGCATTAGACTTACTGGGCTGGCAAACGGTCTTGACCTTTGAGCCTCAAACCAAGTTTGACAACTGCAGGTTCTGTAGAACTCAAGTTTGCACCAGAAACAAGCGAAACAGCATTGATGACACACAGTTAAATATACTAAACTAAGAATACTTACTGAAAAAAATGAAAAAAACTGCTGTTTGTTCCCCCCCCCCCCCATATGAAATTCCATTTTGTACCCCCTACTTCTCATTCTTTCCCAGCTGAAACTAGTACAATTCTTTGGAGTAGCTAGAGTGTGGTTAAGCAGAGGAAGCTATGCTTGTTTGCATGGAATCTGCTATTTCCTCTCTGCCAAAACACTTGTTTAAAGAAGTCATGTAATATTTCTATTAAGCTGTAAACACAGTTGACAAGGAAATGGCCTACTGGCAGTGCATTACCTTTGTGGCAGTGCCAACCAGCCTACAGCAAAACAGTGCACATGGTAATTTCAACATGCATTCCCAAGTAACAAAGTTGTGCCTTACATAAATACCACAGAACTCCAGCAACATTGAGAAAAAGCAATGAAAACTTGCCCAAGCCTTCATGCTTGCCTGTATCAATTCTGTGTCATAACTAAAACAAAGTAGGAAAGCATCTACATATGTCCAAAAGTCCTGTGAAGCTGTATCATATGACACTGGGAAAACTATTGCAACTTAAATCTGTGTATTTCTTGTTAACCACTGTAACAACTCACTAATAAAAATTAAGAAAAATTGTAGGTATCAAATATACAAAAGAGTACTAACTGCTTACAAGCCCTTAAAAACCGTAACGTAATTTATTAACAAGAACACATGTTCTATGTAATTCAGAATTGTTAACTTACTTTGGCCTTTGATAGCATTCATTTGATTACAAGAATTAAACACGTTCACAAGCTTTCAAACTAAGTGACCTTTGATTTATAAGCAGCTATTATCATGCATATAAAAATCCTCTCTGATAATGTAGTCCTCACAACAGCTAGCGCAACTACACATAACGATGTTAAAATTAACTCACAGATGTAATTAAGACATTTTCATTGAAAGTTCAACCAAAACCTCAGCACAATCAAATGTATTTAATCTGTAATCAACAGTTCTTCAAAATATTTTTTAAATGTTATTTTACCTTAAATTAAATTCCCATCAAAAACAAGCTTCAGGAGATACTTACTTTGTTCTCAGCTCTCATCTGAGTATTTTCAGTTTGAATACTAATTTTAAAACAGTTAATTACACAGGGGAAAAAATATTTAAAAACCACACAGTGCAGGAAAATTACTAAGCTTTGTTTCCAAAATTATGTAACGTTCCTAATTGCAAAACACTCACTACCTTTAACTGAGCTGCACACTGCCATAAAACTTCATGAAATATCTCTGCTCCAAAAAGCAAACACTAACAAAAAAATCAAGAACCCAACAATACTAAATACACTTGAGCTCATATATGCATCACCTTACAGCAATCATAAATGAACAGCACATTCTCTTTCAACAGCAGTGGCTCCCTTACATTAAGATCCTGATATATGAGGCACCAGTAAAGGAAAACTGAATAAAATAATCTAGTATTCACACCATTTTTGCAGCAAATCACAAAGACAAAAAAAAAAAAAAAAATCCAATTCTAGCAATATAAAGCATCTTGTTAATACCAAATGGGCTTTAGAGATAAAAATAATTCAAGAATGGAGTATTTATTGATGCTCCGTGCAACCAGTGTAGCTATTCTATAGCTCATTTCAAAAAAAATAAAAGCGTGACTAACAGTGGCAACAGTTACTCCTAGATAAATATTGCTCCCCATGAACTTCTCCAAGTAACTCCTTTAAAACTGCTACTTCTCATAAAGCATCTAATTCTATTAACATTTTATGTTGCAAAAAGTAAACTAATTCAGTAACAGATTTTAAGAGTCAGTAATAAATAAAAACCATCATAGGTTACCAATACTAGCAGTGCTTACATGGGACAATTCTGAGTCCCCCTTCAGGCCATCTTTCCTTGAAAACTCCCTTTCAAAGGAGGATGGTCTCTTGGTTATGGAACTCTCCAAGTGCAGGTACAGTATGGAAAAGGCTCTATATGTGGCCTTCAAGTCACTTAAGCACTTACTGCTTCAGTTCTCTCGCAAGTAGAGATAGAAGCATTATGAAACCTCACAGAGATGTGTTAAAACACAGGCAAAATGCAGTAAATAGGACGCAAGACAGAAAGTGAAAATCTTTGTACATAAACATACCAGTTTACGATTCCAGTATTAGTTTGAGTTTTTTGGGTTTTTTAATACAACAAAGAAGAAAGCACCACCACACACACTTACTCTCATTGGATGAATATCTGCATAAGGAGGTTTTCCTTCAGCCATTTCTATCGAAGTGATGCCAAGCGACCAGATGTCTGCCACACAGTTATAGCCGATCTCTTGTATTACTTCAGGAGCCATCCAAAACGGAGTTCCTATAACAGTATTACGTTTTGCCATTGTGTCCTGTAATTACATTATTTATGCAATTAACCCAGTGATGTTTATTTTCAGATTCTTTTGATATTAATTTTATATTTAAAAGTTAAACTACCCACCCAAAGCTCAAATGATAGTGACTTACAATTAAGACCAAACAGATTCAGTCCAGCTGCCTACAGAGGCCAAACAGGTTACAACCACCATAAACCTCAAATAAAAGTTTAAAGTGGGATCATCAGGCACTTGAAGTACACTGGGTTATAAAAATAAACAACTAAAAATTAAACAGCCTTGAAATACCTTAAATACTTATCATGACAAAGAGAATTAGCTCTACCACTACCACTAGTCACTCCTCAAGACACAAAATTCAAGGCAGAAGAAAAAGACAGAAGTAAAACATGTTTAGGAGCATGAAAACATTTTAAATGATCTTTCCACAGGTACTTACTGTTAACTGGCCAGCCACACCAAAATCGGCTAATTTTGCATGTCCCTCGGTGTTAAGAAGGATGTTTCCAGCCTTTATATCTCTATGTATTTTTCTCATAAAGTGCAAATATTCAAGTCCTTTAAGAGTAGATTTCAAAATAGTTGCAATTTCATCTTCTGTTAGCTACAAGAAAACATAAACCCATTTTCAGTTGTATATATAGAGAGAGTCTATATATTTGGACTATTTAAAACATGATCATTTCATAATGATTATTATAAATAATACAGACAATGTACCTTAGGTATTTTAACACAGGAATGTGCCAATTAGCATTTACAATTCCAAACTCAGATCTACTAACTTGCTCCATATAGCTAGATTCTTACATGTCTGGAGTCCAATTAGAGTACGCAAGCTGCAGAACTAGAGAAGGGGTTGACTGATTCAGATCAGATGACAGAACATGCAATATTCTCTTGCTTGTCAATCAAAAGTTACGACTCTTTAGATGCTGACATCCTTCATGAAGACAGCTGCACAGTTTCTACAATATACAACTAATACATTTATCACTAAGATCATAAACATTAGTTGTCAAGTTATGCATTACCTTTGTCAAAAGAAAAGTAATGGTGCTCACCACTGGACTAGATGGCACATACCAGAATACTTCCCTGGAAAAAGAGATAGCCCTTTCTCTACATTGGAAGACTAGACATCCTCAAACATCCATGTCCTTAAGCTCTTCACAGTTTGCCCAACAAACTAGCACAGTACTACATTTGGAGAAAGATGAAAGGAATACCATGTTTTCTTTATTTCTCAAATTCCTACATATGAAATGCCTGCTAAATCTACAATTAGCACTATCAAGCTTTTGTTCACCAGCTATTCCTAACTGCGCTACTACTAGTCTCTCATTGTCAGCAATTTACAAATTAGAGAGGAAGAAGTAAGAGCTTCTTCACAAAGAAAAAAAAAAAACACACACAAAAAAAAAAAACAAAAAACATGACACAAAAAGCAAAGGATAAAGGTGTACAGAACCATTATTTAATCACAAAGCTTGCAAAAAATATGTTCATTGGGGATATCTTGCTACTTATTATCTGTAGGAAGATAATACAGCATGCAGAAATACAAACACCCCAACAGTTGTCAACTATTTTACAGAAGTCTGTCAAGTAAGCCATTCCTTTTAAGGCTAGTGCCTTCATTTTACATGGAATGTAAGTAAATGCCAATTTTTGAAATTAAGTATTTCTCACTCTGCCTGCACTCCATACTGACAAAGATGAAGAACTACACCCACACAGATGTGCAGCAGTGACGTTCCAAAAACCCTACTCAGCCCTGAAAAAAGGCAACCAAGACATCAAGGTACTCTCATGCTGAAAGATGCCAATAATTATTATCACCTGTTCCTGTAAAGTGTAGACAATTACAGAAATGACTGAGAATGGATACTAATCAGATGCTATGGGCTTTTTCTCACACTGTTCTTTTCTTGTTGCCGACTGATGCAGAGAACCAACGCTCACTGAATTTTGTGTTCTTTTTGAATTACCTGCATCGCTCACCAATTGCTAGATGATATCCTCATAGGAAAATATAATCAGATTGAACATATGGCTCTTCAATTTCAGACATAAATACTGTATTTTTTAAAATATCTACCAATAATATTCATTAGTTTGCTGTCTATGCGAACGTTTCTTGTTAGTCCTTAATACTAAACGCAGGTAACCCACACGAGCTATGCTGTACTATAACGTGTTCCTATCGCGCTATAAAGTTGTATGATTGAATTAACAGAAATCTTAGCACAGCTGGCCCTGAATATATTGTTGTAAGACAAGCCACACTTTAGTAAGCAGAACTACAATGATATGAACATAATGCAACAACACATCAGCCCTCAACTTTCAAAGTAGTTGCAGCCTGTTATTATCTTCTGGTCTCTAAAAAACACATTCCTTTACATAACATTTACCAGGACAGAAATGTAAAAAACGTAGAAAATCTTCTATGGCCATGCTGAATTTTTAACAGGTTTCTTTATGTTCTTTAATAACAGCATGGCCTTCAGTTACTTCCAAGAATTAAGGCAGAAGAGTTGAGGTTCCGGAACTTCAGAGTTCCTGAAGTCAACAATACCTTTTGAACAGTTATACCCAGCTTTTCTTTCCTGTCATGTTTGTTGTTTATTCTTCAGTAAGGATGAATGGAAAGGAGGTACTCTCAAAATAGAATCATAGAATGGTTAGGGTTGGAAGGGACCTCAAAGATCATCTAGTTCCAACCCCCCCCGCCATGGGCAGGGAAACCCTCCACTACGCTAGGAGCGCTAGTAAATAATGAAGTAACTGAATATAAACTGAGAAATAAAACTGAAAATTTGAAGAGGAGGGAGGAAATTGCAACAGAGATATTTACTGAACTCTGTAAAAGTATCACAAAGGAAACACTAAAAACTCTTTTGCTTGACCTTTTCTTTTTTTTTTTTTTTTTAAGCAGACCAGACAAATTCAGTTTAAAAGCTTTGGAAAAAAAAATACATATATATTATCAATGATTAAACACTTACTAGAAATAAAGAAAAGTGTAGACAGGGGAGTCCAAAACACTTCTCTTATTTTCTACTTTAATATGTTGCAGAATTCATATACTGTCACAAATGTTACAACAAGCTGCAAGTATCAACTAGCAACAAGCTGACAGACATTTCATTACCAAAGAAAAAACAATACAGTAAAAAAAAAAAAAAAAAAAAAAATTCTTTAGCTTATCTGCTTCATAAACTACATGGACTACTGAGTAAGTCATCGGGTAGCACAGTTGTTTATCTTCATTGCTTTAGATCAACATAACAGGAACACATAAGCTCCTGAACAAGTTCAGAGAAACAGTAAGAGTTAATCTTTTGCAGGTACCAGACGCCCTGAGAACACTTCTCAGATTTTGATCAACATTTATTCTAGAATAAAACGAAAAAACACACACACCCATGTGATGCAGCTTCTTAAGGAAATACAAAGAAACTATTCATGCAATAAAAAATGCTTTTCAATTACAGTACATTGATGCTTTAATACAAGAACAAAGGAAATCAACTTGACACATTCTTAGAAATGCAAGAAACCGCAAAAATGAAGATGAATATTTTAATTTGGCTGCAACAATGAGTTGTATTTTTCCCCTCTTTCTCTACTTTTCCAATCCTATACAGAAATTAAATTAAGCAATAGCAATTCCTTCCAGTTTCAGTTTTGAAAGTGTTGGTACACATCCACACCTCCCTCAAAAAAAAAAAAAAACCACAAAAAGAACAAAAAACACATACACACAAAAACAAGCCAAAAAAAACCAACTCGCCACCAAAAGGCCACAAGAAACAAAAAAAATCCACTCATAATCACTGTAAGCCAACAGAATGACTCAACAGAAAGCAAAAATGATTACTCAGCAAGATTACCTGCACTTGAGTTGCTCATAAGAAGTTTTAATTATTTAACAAACAGAACCACTTCCCTGTTCCGTCGTCTACCCCATCTCATAAAACCTGGGCGTGGAGCCCGAGGGCACAGTTACACATACATTTATTTAAACAGCAGTGTCAAGCTCCAGTCCTTCATTTCACCGCAACCTGGAACAGTAATTCCCATTGTGTATCAGCCCTTCCACTGAACAACTGTAACTGACCCTAGTTAAAAATAAACCTGTCTGCCAAAATATTTTTCCAACAAATCAGTTTTCTGATTCAATTCATGGCATAGTCAATACGGATATAGCAAAGTAGGAGCTGGTTAAATTGTCATTGCTTTCCAAACAAGTACATGTGTTGCTATACCCAAAGAGCCCCAGTGACTTTTATAAACCTTCCCCTACGCAAGCAGAGGATGAAATTGATGGTCCTTTCTTGCCATTCATCTCTGAGATCTTCCAGTGGCACACTGCTCAAAGCCTTATTTGTGCTACTTCTTTATGCCGACTGCTATGCTGCTTTAGAGGACTGTGCACCAGGAGAACTGAAAACCCTGTTATACACAGCTCAAGCAGGACAGCTTTGCTGGCATTGCACCAAGGGAGTGAAACGATCCACCTGATCCAGAGTCAAGCAAAAAGGGACTTTAGATCAACTGGAAGATAAACTGGAGCATGGTCAGAAGGATATCTGGAGAAAGAGGCAATTCTCATTACGCGAGCTAATAATTTTGTGGTGAAGTACACTAAAACTGTGATTATCTGAAGACTCACACGATAGGCAGTTTTGGCTCTAGCCATTAACAAATACCGTGTCATGAGTAGTTTATGACATGCTGAGCGTAACACTTCCTGCAAGAGCTTTGCCAAATCCACCCCAGTTCAGAAACAATATAATGTCCTGAATCTCCAAAGACTTCCATGCAGTTAATCCTGCGCATGCATCAAAAAACTATCCTGAGCACTGACAAATGTATAGCAAGACATGCTATGCATCCAACTTACTGCTCAATTCCATCTAGAAACAAGTATTATGAGACATTGTGCTTAGAAGGCTCTGCAGAGAAGGTCTCTCCAATATGTTGTGTTCTTAAGGAGGTAAATCCCTAGCTTTAGTTCTCAAAAAAATTAGTGGTTAAACCACATGGAGACCTTTCGATCAACTCTAGATGGAAAAGTGCTTTTACAGCTGCATAGCAAAATCGAGCTCTCAAAAGGACAGTAACAGAACACAGGTTGACAAAGAAGGCAAGGACTGAGAATCCACTAAATCAGGAGAGAGTGAATTCTAGAGTACTGCAGCCAGATACACCATCTGAGGATCATCAAGAAAGGAAAGCTCTAGCATGGCTACATGTTACAAAAGTAAGAAGTATTTAAGCAACATTGAAATATGTACAGTGGTCAGAAAAGCCCACAGAAGTGGATGTCACCTTTAAGAAACAAGCAAAGAGCACAAGACGTGTTTATCAGGAACAGCAGTCACAGCGAAACACAGGTAAAAAGAAGGGAAAACAGGCTTGCTATGCCCTAAGTGTTCTGAGACACATAATCCAAATTCCAGATATCCTAGATCCATCCACTTGTGCTTCGTAAAATATGTATATACATATATACACACACACACATATATAATCATCATCCATAGAATGTGATGCAGTCACTGAAGTCATTCCTGTTTATATTATTGATAAACA